AATTAAATATTTTATTTAGAAAATATATAGCTAAAATTAATATTTAAAATTTTATTAGAAAAATTTAAAATTTAAAATAGTTGCTAGCAAATTTGGCTGCAAAACAATTTAAGGGATAACCTGGGTTAATTGCACGATCAGCAAGATTTTTAACAAGTTTTTTACTTGATGAAGCTGAAAGATGTAATTTATCTTCATGATTATATAAAGCGGAGGCAGGTAAGTGACCATTGTGAAACATTTGAATAAATTTATTGCGTATTTCTTCATTTACACATCTAAAACTAAGTAACTCAGCTGAATTAATAACATGATTATGTTTAAAACAAATATTAACCTCCAAAGCATGGCTAGTATTTAAACACCAACATTTTAATTGCAAACACAAGGTTGCTGAACAACCTGTATTTCTATTATGTGCTAATTTCAGATTTTTTCTTTCAGGGTTACCTTGTTTTTTTCTAACAATCTGACTATGAATACAATACCTTGATTCTCGAAAAATAACTCATTTGCTCTTAACTCCATATTTCTTAGTTTGTGGCATTGTTATTTTCGAGTGTTCTTTAAAAGCAGCAAACTATTCTTTTATGCCTTCCACAATTAAAATATTAACAAATAGATTTGCTTCAAATTGTTATACTTCAAAACCCTCATGAGTATAATGTGGTGGCAATTTTATCATATGTCAAATCATATAACTATAATTTATAAGAAAAACTGCTTGTAAAAAATCTAGCAATAAATCCCAAGAAAAAATCTAAAAACAAATATTTTTTATAATGTTACTATATTGTAAAAAAAAAAAAACTTAGATTGCCTCTTTAAATTTGATTTACTTTGCAAGGATTTTCATTATCCATAAGATTAGCAAGAGTTGTAGTGTCTTGGTTTGTTTCATAAAAATTAACATTCGATGCAGTATAGTTGATTTTTATTATAAGAATAAAAAGACAAAAATTCAAAAATTTACAATGATTAAATAATAATTAGTAAACAAAAAGCAAGTATAGCTTTACAGTAACTTACTTTAATGCTATTATCTACTCCAATGTATTTATTTGCTTCAATACTGTTATTTACTTCAATGCTGTTATTTATTTCAATGCCATTATCTGCTCCAATGCCATTATCTGCTCCAATGCCGTTATCTGCTCTAATGCCATTATCTACTTCAATGACTTTATTCGCTCCAATGCTGTTATCTACTTCAATGTCTTTATCTACTCCAATACCTTTATCCACTCCAATGCTGCTGGCTAGGGTATTTATCTGCATTACATCGATCATCAACATATTGTTCATATGATTTGAGAACATATCCCTTTTGAGTGTATAAGTCATAAATAAATTTTCTATATTATGTGTAAAAGAATCTTCCATATTATATGTGAAAGAATTTTCCATATTATGTGTGAAAGAATCCTCCATATTATGCGTGAAAGAATCCTCCATATTATATATGAAAGAATTTTCTATATTAGTTGTGAAAGTATTTTCTGTATAATTTGTAAAAGTATTTTCTATATGATTTGCAAAAGAATTTGTGTGATTTGTAAAAGTATCTCTCCCTCTGTAATATGCAAATATATTCTTATCATCCTCCAAATAATTGGTAAATGAAAAGGTCATGTTTCGTGAATGCAAAGATTATTTCTGCCATTTTAAATATAAAGTAATATGAATTGTATATAAGTTAATACAGTATTAACAAAAAATTCCAGATTCATTAATTACTTATGTAAAATTGGTTTTTTTTTATTTTTTATTTTTCTATTTTTTTTATTTAATTTTTTTTTTATTTAATTTTTTTTTATTTAATTTTTTTTTTATTTAAATTTTTTTTATTTAATTTTTTTTATTTAATTTTTTTTTCTTATTTTTGATAGTCTGACGTTTCTTAATAATCGCAAGTTATAATCCACATTCTAATGGTATTACGTTCTATATACTTGAAAGCTCAAAGGATTGTATTTATTATTTTATACATCTGCTTTTTATTATTATGCTACACTCCACCTTTCTAACACCAAGCCTCTCCTTTTTCACTACACTTTCTAAACACACACACACATGACGATATTTCTTTGCACTTGTCTTATTTAGGGTAACGAAGCAAAGGTTCGATTTTCAAGATCAAACTTTATATTTATTTATTTTTTTATGTATGATTATATCACTGATTGTCAATCATATAGACTCAAATTAGACTCTAAATTACTAAGAATAGTCTGTCATTATTATGATTTGAGTTATTATATTACGATTTGAGTCATTATATCACGGTTTGATTCACTATAATATTAAGATTTGAATCATAATTTGAATTGAACTATCTGGCCTGAGCACCAAGTATTTGTGTAACCGATTATTCACAGCTTTGCATGATTACATCATTATTATACTGTTATACAGTACTAATCATAACCTGGCACAGAATGGATGGGTGCTATTTTAAAGAAATTAATATATACTGTAGATTTTGCAATATATAAGTATAATATATATTTTTTTATAACACAATAATATACTACACAGTGTCTAGTTAGGAGTTACCTAATAAAAGTAACTTCAATATATTCTTGATTATTATATGTTATCTACAAATTGGTAGTCATTATAACAGTTTTGTAAAATAAGTCAATCTTTTGCTAAAGAATAATAATGTTTTTTAAATAATTTAAAAAGATTTTATTTTTTACTACTTTATCAGAAGGTGGACAAAAGTTTGGATTAACTTTTGCTACTATGTGATAGAATCTTTTTTTTCTTGGTACAAATAATAGTTCATTATCAAGAAGTATCTATTTGACAACTGCTTTATTTAGTTCTTTATATCTATTACCTTTATATAGAGTATTGGATTGGATTATTTTAGTTATTGTAGTTTGTTGATTTTGACTTTATTGATTTTCAGATATTAGTTTTTTATTATCTACAATATTATGCATTATTTATAGATATGAAATTATATTTGATATTGAACTATTATGAATATAATCAGTTTATATATTTTGTCTTTTTCTTTTTTCTTTACTATAATATAACATATATCTTTCCTATTAATTACTTTGAAATATTTCTACACGAAGCTTTTTTATTTTTTTTTCTTCTTCTTTTAACACTAGCTAATGTGTTTGTTGTAAAGGATATATTGTTATTATTTTTACTATTGCTTTTATTAGTGGGTATATTTTTTTAAAAACTTGAACTAGATTTGCTTTGAAATTCTATTTTTTTTATTTTTTTATTATTATTGTATTTT